CTAATAGAATTTTTGTGCTTATTTGTGGTGTTTTATTTCGTTAACAGTTATTTTATCATTACATTATTAATTCTTAACATTATTTAAATCGGTGTTACCATCTGATATTTTTCTATGTGCCATGATTTGAAGTCAGTTGGCTGTTTTACGTGCATGTTTTCGTAGATGGCGGCTGCTCCAAGATTACTGGCTTGGCGTTATTCATCATCGTGTGTTACACTTAAAGCAGGACGACAATTTTTTGTACTACCGCGAAATTGGTGAGCTCGATGGAACGTGTCATCCACAGCACTTTGTTGCCACTATCATGTTCTTCAGCTCGATTCAGACGATGCGGCCGCAGTAGTACGAGGAAGGCAGTAATGGACTTTTTTCGCCTTGCCGACAAGTCTCTGCCCAGTTTGCAGGAAGAGTGGCGACGAAGCGACGCGAACTTCAACAAAGCGGTAAATGCCGCGCCGGGCATCCGAGTGATTCGTCAGGATCCGGTCGAATGTCTGTTTTCTTTCATCTGCTCGTCGAACAATAACATTGCTAGAATAAGCGGTATGGTTGCCCGTATGTGCGAACGTTTCGGCGAGGAGGTAGAAGTGAGCGGAGTCGCGGTTGAGGACAGGAACGAGCGCGCAAAGTTTTATGACTTTCCAACCGTCGACAGATTGGCTCAACAGGACGTAGCCGACATCCTGACGCAACTGGGTTTCGGCTACCGAGCGAAGTTTGTCGCCGAAACGGCGAAGCTCATCGCAAACGAACGTGGCGGCCAGCAATGGTTGTTTTCGCTTCGGTTGTACCCGTACGACGTGGCTCGTCAACAGCTGTTTCAGCTACCCGGTGTTGGCTGGAAGGTGGCCGACTGCGTCTGCTTGATCGGCTTGGATAAGGCTGAAGCAGTGCCGGTCGACGTACACGTTTGGAAGATCACCGTCGAGAAGTACATGCCCGCATTGAAGACTGTAAAGCATCTCTCGCAAAGCGTCTATTCTTCGATAAGTATGGAAGACTGGCCCGTATGACGGTACGATTGTTATAAGAAGTTGAGTGTTTTTAGGCGCATTCTACCGCGATAAGTTTGGACCGTACGCCGGCTGGGCCCATGCTGTTCTTTTTACCGCTGACCTTTCTGAACCGCTGCGAGCTAGAGAGAAACGAAAGCCCGTAATGGACAAGGCGCCGTTGTCCCTTGTGACGAAAAACGTTGCTAAGAAGACAAAGACACATCACTACGCTTAAAGTGCCGGCAATAAAAATTGTTAAAAGGACAAATCGCATCTGTCGTTTGACAGTTTAAACATCGGTGTTTACCATAACCAAGAGAAAGTCGCTACTGTTGTAGCACGGTGAAGCCGCCAAGAATGTGACTTCTTTATAGCTTTTACCCGGGTCGTAGATCTTTGGGAAGAATAGGTGTAGGTCACGGTCCGATTCTTGCGGGCTGGTAGTTCAGTGATATATACTACAATTACCTTTTGACCAGAGTATAGAGGCTACAAGGCCTTTGATCCTTCCAACTTCACCGTGGTGGATTTCTGATACAGTTATCCGAAATCCTTGTGCCAAAATTAGTAATCAGGATATCTTTTGGAGGTTGGCAGGTGAATTTTCGGCATCTTTACATGTACCGTATCAGATGAGATGTTGGATATTTGACTTCCAAATCGAACTATTTTGTTCAGTACTTGTATTTTGAGTTTATTAGACATAACTTAGCTATTACAAGATGATTAGCGATGAACTTTAAACTAATCGCTTGGTAGCAACTTCAGCAAATTCCCTTCCCCAATACTAATTATAACATGCAGACTTTCATGGCAGCGACAAATGTTGTCACCAGATGTGGTACCCGGTGTGGAATTTTGGATAGCCTTGTTACGTCATATTTTCTTTAGGTTTTGCTGATCACAACTTCTGACAGCACTTTCGACTTCCTCATGTCATTGATTAGGTATCGTCCGTCCGACTAACCAATTGGCCGTTATTTACTGTTCAGGTGGACGCCACAACGAAAAATCTTGTTCGTTTCTTAGAGATTAATGCAGATGGTATTTCCAATCCCAGTATGGGTCTAGTAGTCGGTGTCCTTATAGTAGGCACTTGCTTAAAAGGCGAAAACATTGCCAACTCAGGTTATGATTGCGTCATCGTTCGTCGAATGACCGTTTTTGGCTAATAGACTTCACGGCTTACAAGCAACTCAGGAGCATCTGAATACAACGCCGGACACAAAGATCAGGGGCTTTCATATTAACCTCCAACGAAAGTACAGTAAAATAATGCTTTCGTCAACTCATCAACTCTCATAATCGACAATAATTAT